CTCAAGGGATTACGTGCGACTCCACGTGCATCACGGGGTCCTCGCCCTCGATGCCTCGGCCCTTGGCCAACCATGCCACACATGGAATGCAGCGACTGCTCCGATATTTAAGCAGCGCCAAGTGGGTACGTGCCACTTCACGTTCAGCCCGCGAGCCACGCTCGGGACTCCTACCCAATAAACCTTCGTTATTCGACAACTCGGATACTCCGATATCGAGCACGTTGACCGTCTCGGTCCAGTGCCCGCGCCAATAGCGATTGCGCCTCCTAGCAGAGGTGGGATCATGACTCACCACATCTCTACATGAGGACGTGCGCGTAGCGCCCAAGGTCTTCGACCTTTAATGGGTCCATGTCTCATGGTGATTCAACCATGCCATACCAATGATGAAATTATACCTTCCATCAAAGTCTAAGACTAATCAGCCTTCCACATTATCGAAGTCAAGAAACTTGACATCGAGGTCCACAGGAAACCTCGGCTCCGTGACACATGTCACTGAAGCGCACTTTCAGCCCTTGGCATATTGTCCGACGCCCCGAAATCGATAAGGATCTTCTATGGCTTCTCAAAGCCCTTCTCAGTCGCTTCCAAGACCCGCAAGCCTGGATTTCATACACCCTTCGTCTTCAAGAGCACGAAGCTCTTCGGGGCTGAGCCTTGCTGCCCTACACATCTTTGAGGCTCAACAGAGCTCAGTTTTTCCCTAGTAAGGCAATTCACGCCTACTGGGTGAGGTCGGCTCCTCGCGACAAACAAGACTGGTGAGATGTGGGATGTTGGTTTGATATAGCCTGACGCGCCCGCAAGGCACAACCAGTCCGAAGGGTTTCGGGTGTCTTCCCAGACAAAACACCGTCTAGTGTTCGATCGCTGCCTGGCAGCTCGGGGCTCGCACCCTCTTTTTCAGCATCGCTGCGACCCATTGCCTCAGTCCCCCTCGACGAGTTATGAGGGTGTGAATTCCAACCAAGTCGATAGTTGAATTTGGCATTCATGCCACTTTCAGCGCTCCTTCAAAAGATGACGGATGCACACGGAAGACTTTCATTCTGACCACGCCAGTGCGGAGACCCTCCATAACGACGGTCACTGTGACCGCCTCATGGGGAGGATCGGATGCCATACCGGCAATGAGAGTCCGCAACTGTTGGACAAAGTCCACCAATTCATTCTTGCCCTGTCGGACAGCAAGGAATCGCGATCTCACCCGATTTCCCTGGTTAGACGGCGAGAACACTGGTAACAGCTGCAGCTTCAGCTCCGTCCAGGAGGTAAACGCCGCTTCACCCGAAGTGCCGCATGTCAGTGCCCATTATCGCGCTCGACCACCGAGCTTGGAGATAGTTAGCGCCACGCGCTGCTGCTCATTCTGGGGCATGGTGGATGCCATAGCCATCTCGACCTCTCTCACCCAGGCAGGAAATTCTCTCCATCCTTACCCTTGAAGATCTTAACGCTCATCTGTCGCCGACGGTGGCGTCATGAACGCAGTCGACGCCGACATCTTTTGCTGTAGGTGCTTTGGAAAAGCATTTTCATGGCCTGAAGACGCCTCTGGACGCGCGCTGATCGCTTCAGTTCCCTGCGAAGCGAGGTGTTGCACGCCATCGGGGCCAAGCAGAGACATCAGCTTTTAAGCCCGTTCTGCATGCCCTGGGGCAAAAAGGAGAACTGCTGTATCCTCACAGAGGATCAGTTGTCACGACTCAGGAATAGATTGACTATAAGTGTTACCAAGTGCAGCGGGGCTGCCGAAGCTCTTTGCTTAGAAGAAGCTAAGGTCACTGACCTTACGTTCTATACTAGAACAAGTATGAGTGTAGCGTATCGCAATCCGCTAACTCCAAGAGTACCCAAAATCTAAGGCGAATACACTCTTCCGTTCACAATTCAAAGTGTAATTATGTGTTATTAGCGGCAAAGCCGCCCATATCTAAATCTATACGTTTTCCTGATTAAATGATAAAACCCAATTAGTATGCATAACTACTGACAGTCCGGACACACAGTGGCTTCTTGTTACGGTGTAGCCACACCATTGCGTGATTACGCCGCATTGTAATCCACACCTTTGTACGGTCACACCATCCACCCTTTCATACCAGGGTACGTATCACCCCATTACAGTGATGATACAATCAGCCACACATCTAACTTTCACTTGAAGTCTCTACTGCAGCTAGGTGTCTCTCACGAGCAGTTGATAGAAATGGCTAACGTAATTGAGAGCACAGAACACATATCAATCGTCATCGTTCTGTTCTGTTGCATACCCTTTCTTAGAATCGCCGTTTGCTCCGGAATGGTGGCTACACTCAACTTGTTAGAAGCATGCACAATTTGTCACTTGTCGTTAATTCTCTCACACAGAATATCGGCATAGAGTAAAAAGCTCCAAAAATAACGCTTCGTTCATCGCGCTGAGATAAGCGTTGATGACGTCCATTTTTCAAGCTTCGTAAAATGAGGCAGTCATCTTTCTGAGTCTTGCTGGGGACACAAAATCAAATAAAATACAAAGGCACTTAATAGGGACACGAAATAACATCTTGTTGACTGTACCGATGACGATTAGTAGCGAGATCTCTAAGCTTAAGCTGCTATTACTTAGTGACACAGGAGGAAAGATGCAGCGTGTAAACGAAATGTGTGAAAAGCTGGTGAGCTCTGAAGACTGCGATGTTAGCGCTGTGCTCGTGTCTGGCGGGCTGGTGGCCAACCGTTGGCCGCAAGACTATGAAAGGCTCGAGGCAGTGGCAGCCGCTGAAGGAGACATGATGGCGCTCATATCGCGGCTTGAGATGATAATCTGTCGCGTAATCTATATCACAGACGATGTAAGCTATTGTCCATTTCGAAGGATAAAACGAGGTGCTTATTGGCAACGCAATGGGTACATTATTTGTCAGAACGACCCGCCTACGACGCATAGCAAAACTGCTTCGGTGCCATCCTTGACGCAGTACTCATCCAATATAAATTACCGAGACGAGACAATTGTGGACGGTGTGACGGTCATGGGCGAAGCTCGATATTTCAAGTAGGCACTTACTCCGATCGATGTGATAAGCGAAAAGTATCATGTTGACTCTACATGATTTTAGATTGATAAATGATGGCAAGGATCCTATGCAGGATCGTGACATGGTGTTGGTTCTGCGTGACTCTACAGCGAAGACACAATTGCCTGCTGCAGAAAGCTCTTTCTTTGCTGGTTTACTTCCAATGTTGCATTCCAACAAGTTTAAAGAGCCGTGTGCGATCGAAATCATTGGCGGCAGTACCCCCCATCCACACGTTCAGCTTCCAGTGATTTATTCAGGTCAAACGAACAATTAATGGCTAGGCAGAGGCATCAGTAAAGATTTCTCATCGCTGACAGATAATTTATTTTGTGGTCTTGCAGGCTCACTACAACTGGGTCAGTACACAATTTTGCAGCTAGAAAAAGATTCTCCAAACGACAAGTGGTGCGTTGCAGCCGTTACCTCACATGAGCTCAAGTCCGAAGACGACGAGGGTGCATGTGCCTCATATTAAAATACTATATTATTATAATATCGCCCAACGTTTCTATGCTCAAAGATACGGTTATTATCAATTTTGCTGTTATGTCAATCACGAGACACCATTTTTAATCCTTTTCTAAATGGGAACAGGAACGCACGACTCCGTCAGGGGAAAACCTGGCGATACGTCGAATTTGCGGGAGCTAGAACGGCTGCGCGTTTTGGTTATGTACGAATTTGAGCCGCCGTTGAGCAGCCAAGAGCTTGTGGAAGCGCTGCGCTCCCATGATAATCATGTGGAGCATGCGTGCGAGTATCTTAAATTGAGTCGCCGCCACAAACGATTGAGTGGAATCACGACGTCTACACCATTGGATATAACTAACGTGAGCATGATGGCGCCAGAGCGGGAAAAGCGGCGTCTTAGTGTCTCATCAGTGGACGATAAGAGTACGCCGAGCAAGAGGCACAAAGATTGCACTTCTTCGTCGACAGACACGTCCGAGGAAGAGGAAGAGCATGAGAGCGATGAGGAAAAACTTACGCAGCAGGATTGTGTGCTCATCAGTGCGCCAAATTGCTCCAGAGCGCAACAATTGCTGATTCAGACAATAGAGGACCGTGTTGCTTCGGAACAGCCGTTGCGAAATCCTGAATGGCTTCACCAAGTTTGGACAAGTTTGCGTATACCGGCTATCTTAGAGATAGGAATGCAACTTAATTTGACAGTGGACGCTTCTGTAACGTGGGTGAAAGGTGTAGACCCTAAGTTTTCATCTGAGATCCAACCTCGAGCAGCTGCACTGATCGTTGAGGTACTGGCTAATTTGCCGACATGCACGATTGATACCGCTTCCAATGAAGTGGGGTATCTATTAAAAGATGATGTATTATCGATGAAAGTAAACGATGTGGAATCTTTTGTACAAGCTGAGAGTGAAGCCGCTGAAGGTTGTGCGTATGCTCGCGCAAATGCTGCGAAATTAGCTATCGAATCACTGTCATCAGCTTGTAATGCGTACATGGATCGACTTATTTGGTTTAAGGAGGAAGATGATAAGAATACTAAAGAATCAACCGAGGTACGGGAAATTATGGAAGTACTGAGTCAAAAGTTGGCTGTGCTGGTTGATGATAGCAATCGTGACGTGGAGGTGGCTAGCTGCGTTTTGTGCGAGGCAAAACAAAAGAAAGAAGTGCGATCAATGCAAATTGTTGAAGTTGTGCATAAACGACGCGAAGAACTATTAAGCAAGGGCGAGACGGAAGCATGTGCGACTCTCGACTCGGTTGTTGGGGTGTGGAAAAAAGACGACAGTGAAGTGCAAGCACTATGGACATCTCGTAGCGAGTGTGAACGGCAAGTAAACGAATCTGAGCGTACTTTGAAGGTTACTAAACATGCGTCGGCATTTTACAAAAATCTGCAAATTTTGTTTCAAAAAGTTCGTGAAAGACGTGAAAAAGCGTTGATAAGCTCGCTGAGTGGGCTTAAGAAGGCACGCGAAGGTTCAGACGCTCAAGCTACCGCAGCTTTGAAAAAGTTCGTGCCCATGCTCGCACGCGCGCTCGGTCAATTCTATGAGTTTCATTCGATTCAGCAGCTGAAAGCTAAGGAGGAACTACGTGAGCAGGAGACTGCATTAGCAGCTCATAACGAGTATTTTGGAGACTCTGCTCCTATAAAAAAGGGGGATCTAGAGCGGCGAATTCAGGAGTTTATTGGTGTCACGGAACGATCTATGCAAATAATAATGGAATTGGCGGATCGTCAGCAGCAACTATGGACTGATAAACATACAGTTTTACCCGAATCAGTGCGCAGCATACTGATCGACGAATTTAAAGCGGTATGGGCGCAGTTGAGTGGTCCGATCAAGGACGTGATGAAAAACGTTGTCGCCTCACTTGAAGAAATTGCTGGAGATGCAGTGGCAGTGGAAGTGCTGCGCGATAAACATATGATGCCTGATTCTAGTGTTTCTATGATAGTCGCGTCAAGTACTTCAGATGAGCAAATTATTCCAGCGTTTACAGAGCCAGCATTTCTGAAATCGCACGTCGAGGCTATTTCGCCATATCGAACGGCAATTTCACCCGTCGTTGCTCAAAACCTGACTTTTAGCTTGCCAGATGAGGAGATGCCCAAGACGTGGATAAGTTCTTTGCCTGGCAACAACGAGAACGAAACTGCATTCCCGCTACATCATGCGACCCCTGCACCTGGTGAAATGCAATATAACTTTGAAATTGGCTCAAATTTGTATTCGAGAATCACTGCGGGGGAAAGCTGCTCACAGTTTGTTCGTGGCGTAGTGCTCAAGCGTTTAAGCAATGGCATGTACTTGATGCAATACGAAAACGGCGACAAGTTTTCGGTGGACGGTTCGTACCTTTTCACAAAGGATATGGTACGTGACGCTTCTAAATATCTTGCAATGTTTATACTCACACTGTTGTAGATGGAGCAGAGTTTAAAAGTTGCTGGAGCAATAAGTTCAGACGAAAATGTTGAGATGGAGAGTGCTGAGCAAACCAGTAGTGAGAGATTTTGTGTCATAATGTAGCGAGTGACTTCATTTGAGTAAATAAGGAAATTTTGATGTACATTTTGAGCCCTCAACAATACTGAATTTTACAAGTAATTAAGAACTTCTGAGTCGGATCAGTCTGCCAATAAGCAGCAGGCGACAAAATTCCTATGAACACTAGCCATCACAAAGAAAGCGTCGCGAGTGACGTCTGGCAAGAAAAGATCGAGCAACTTCAGGCATGTAAATAAATGCATTTTATGTCGAATTGTTGCCTTTTGCATTGACCATATGTTTTAGAATGAGCTGGTCTTAGCGCAGTATGAGGCGCAAAAGTGGAAGGAAAAGTACCACGTGGAGAAACGACGACGTCAAATGACAGCAAGAGACTTATTAAATCTTGTCATGCTCACAGATCGCTTCTCGAATGAGAAAAATACGTTAGAAGATGTTAAAACAATGGAACGATCATTGAGGTGGGTGAGCATCTTATACATAAGCTATTGTTTAGAGGAAGACAGAGCTTGACAGTGTTGCAAATCATGAATCTGCTTTTGTATCTCAACTTTCCTTATTGTGCAGCAGTTCAGATCACATAGTTAATCTACTGAGCCCTACATTATCGTCATTTGACTTCGATGATGATTCCAGCGAGGATGCTAGTGATGATAGCAGAGATCAATCGCCAGAGACTTTATCAAATATTGTAGAGGCGACGAAAGGTGAGTCTGAGCCTCTAGCTGAAACCGCTGTTGAAAGTATACAAAATTCGAATTCTTCAAGTAATGATGGTGGGCCTCACGATTCGTCATTAGCTTTGGAACAGCTAGACCAACAATCAACCATGTACCATACGAACACGAGTGTGGGTATTTCTGGTCGTGTGGGTCGGTCATCAACCACTGGGTCTTTAAGAGAAGCTTTAGGTGGGTCATCACGACGTGTCTCAGATGTGAAGAGTGAGCACTTGAAGCAACAACACCTTATGTACCGGATTTTGTATGCTAATTCGTCTTCACGCGATTTATGGCATGCGCGAATTCACCCGCACAATTTAAAAAATGTGGCATGCTCCATCATGTTTTCAACCCATATGAAAAAAGAGCGTGTTTTTGAACACTTCTTTGTGGTGGGGACGACGCAAAATGTAACAGAGCTTTGTTCTGGGTACTACAAACCAAAGTTGCTTTATCACCATCCGAACGTGAGTAGTTAATGATATTGAGGTAGTTGATTGATTTCTGTCTAACTGATCATTCGCTTGCTTGGTAGCATATTAGTGATTCACCTGATGAGTCCGTCGCCGATTTTTGCTTTCCACGAGGTGTACCTTCGATCATGTGTACTCCTGCTCAAGCGAAATCCATTCAAGGTGTAGCAGTGTCGAAATGGTTTACTGATATTGAGTCACTTCAAGATCACATTAAAGAAGTCCCTTCAACAAGCGGCTACACATTTCGCCTCACTGGGGCAAAAGGCGAGATTCTTTACGGTTTCTGTGTTGCTGTGATGAAAAATATAGCAGCCGAGAACTTGTCAAAAGTGGATCCGATGTTGACAAGCCCTCGTATAGATCGGATGTCAGATCAGATAGATAATTCTATCCCATCGATCTCGACGCAAGAGAAGAATACTAATCTGCTTCATATGATGGCACCAATATGTTTTTGCTTTACAAGTAAGTTTCCCTTTTATCGTCTTCATTTTACGGTACGAGATTATGTTTGAGAATTATGTTATGGCGAAATTTGGTCAGTTATGTTGTTGTTGTGATTTGACATGATGCAGCTTTTACGCATGATCGTTGAAAACGAGCTTGAGCAGTACAGCCAATTATCCAATAATTCTGTGAATGACTCAAAAAAAGAAGCTGAATACACTGAGCAATATGAAATCATTTTAAGGCCGCAGCTTAATCTTGTAATTGAATTCACGATCTACCACGAAGAAAACTTTGGCGTGCGGGATCAATTTATCGATTCAGAATCAAATCAGCAAAAGAGATTAAATTCAATTGCGTCAAAGCTGGACATTTCTTTGGTAGATGGACGTGTTGTGCTGAGTGAAGATGCCCCTAAAATTTCCGGGGCTAATCAATCTAGTTTTGAGTCGAAAAAGCTTTCAAGCCAGCTTCGAAAAAGTTTTAGCACCGATAATATTGACAATTGCAAAGTAGTCAACGGGTGGATTTTAGACAAACCCATGGTAAAGAGCGTCGGCTTAACCCAGCCTAAAGAATACGAGGGGGTGAAAGTGGGGGATATACTCGAATCAATCGACAGCATTGCGACGGGTACGTAAAGCGAATATTTATATATGCTAACTGATCATGCCGAAAATTGAATTTGATTTTTTTGCTTTAAAGCATCAATGAGTTTTGAGCAAACGCAGGCACTGCTAGAGAAAGGGACTCGCCCAATGCGTCTCCATTTTCGTAGATCTGCTTCAACGCAGATATCAATGTCAACTACTGAGCAAAAGCAGCCGGATGTCCTGTTACCCACTTCTGTCGATGTGCGTTGATACTTATGAAGGCGACACACATTTTCAAACAAAGACTGATCGAACAATCGTGGACTTTGTAGATTCTACACCGTGCACGACGAATCAAAATAAATGATCCGGGGCACTGGTCTTCGGCTCGATTACCAACATTTGAATTTAGCTATCAGTTTCCAAAACGTCAGTCTGACCGCTGGGCAGTTGGTGTTGTGTTACGATTTTTGTCGCCAGACAAGGTGGTCGAGATCATAGCCAACCTGCTGCTTGAAAAGCAAGTTGTAATTATGAGTGAGTGTCCAGCCAAGGTATCGGCTGTTTGCACAGCTCTCTTGCTTTTGCTTTCTCCTTTCCAGTGGCAGTCGACGTACATTCCTCTCTTGCCTTCAAATCTGCTGGATTTCTTGCATTCTCCTGTGCCGTTTTTGGTGGGATGTCATTCGTCGAATGAAACCTCTGAATGGTCTGACGTCTGCTTTTACGATATCGACAACGACAACATCGTTGCACCTGCTGCAACAGGACATTGGAGTCCTGAGTTGATTTTCAACGGCGTCGAGCTTTGTCGCTTACTTCGGAAAGCTAGAGATCGCTTCTGTGCGCTAAGCCCTTCTGGGAAGCCGTGGTATGAACTCTCTGAGGAAGAAGATACGATCATCACACTGACAATGCAAGAAGCCGAGATTTTTTTGCGAGATATGGGGTTCGACATTTCATATCAAGACTTGGCAGCGTCGATCCCAGGTAATTAGATTTATTGAATGCTGAAAAATACAATAATAGATCACTTTGTATGCAGAAGGTCAAAGTCTTTACGATCGGTTGCAAGAAGAAGTAGCCAAGGAAGTGCGAAACAGCATCTACGAAGACTTCTTGGACGAATTTACCAAGACGCAATTATTTTGCCAATATTATGAAAGCCTCTTACAGCCTGAGGCTCAAAGAGCACGAAAGTAGGATAGCGTCACATTCCAGACCAACCTCTGACAAATTTTTGTATAGGAACATGGAGCGTATGATTGATAAGTGAAGTCGAAGTTACTAATAATCAACTACCTTCTTAATCGCTTCGAAATTTCGCAGTGCATCCGGCAGATAATGCTGAGAATATCCGTTAAAAATTAGCATCTTTCAGACAAGTTACAATTTTAGTGACAAAATACGCTTACTGATTCATACGCGAGCGGAAAGGGAATGTCGTAGCCGCACACGCGCTGTATAGGCGCCTCCAGACTTAAAAAGCACCGCTCCTGTATACTTGACGAAATTTCGGCGGCGAAACCACCCGATTTCTTCAAATGGCAACATGTCAGGCATCAATGTAAATAAACGTGTGCTTCCACATACCGGAGCTTCATGGCTTATCACGAGTCGACCAGTCTTACGGACCGAGTGCTCGATAGTGTCAGCATCCCAGGGAAATACTGTCTGCAAATCGATAAGTTCGCAGCTGATACCAACGTCTTCAGCATACCGACAGGCTTCCTCCAGTACTCGCATTTGCGCACCCCACCCAACTACTGTGATATCCGTTCCTTGCCGCAAAATCTCGGCTTCACTTAGGTTTTGTACGTATTCCCCTACTGGTACCTATCGCGAATTCGTATATAAATTCATCAGTAGTCAGTCACTTGTTCCATCAACTTTCTGCAATAAATAAGCCTTCACTTGCCTCTCCCACAGATGCGCGATATAAAGCCTTTGGCTCCAAGAAAATGACGGGATTGGGATCTCGAATGGATGCTAGTAACAAACCCTTTGCTGTTGCCGGATTGCGTGGTACAACCACTTTAAGACCAGGTGTGTGAGCAAAGTATGCTTCCGGCGATTGAGAATGGTAGTGACCACCGTGGCCTACAGCTCCGTACGGGGCCCGTAGCGTAAGTTTGCCACAATTAAAATCGTTGCCCGAACGATACCGAAACTTGGCCGCCTCATTAACTATCTGGTCGAAAGCAGGAAAGATGTAATCAGCAAATTGAATTTCAGCAATTGCTGTGCGGCCTGTAGACGCATAACCGATAGCAAAGCCGGCAATTGCTTGTTCGCACAGTGGCGAGTTAAAAACACGATCGCTTCCAAACTTTTCACGGAGATCCACAGAGCAGCGAAAGACACCACCAAAGGCTACATCTTCACCAAAGAGCACAGCGGTAGGATCAGTCTCCATGGCAATGCGCATGGCTTCGTTTATAGCTGTAAACATATTCATCTGCTGTGTCTCCTGCTCGTGCAGTGCATCATCTACCTCCTCCTGCGCCTGACGAAGTGAAGAGGCAACGTGTAATGTTCGAATCAGTGGAATGTGGCGTACACGACGAGTAATATTACTGTAAGATGAAGAGAACATGGACATTTACGAATGTGACGCACTTGATGAAGCTATTCGAGGACTGCTACCACATTTGGCATGAGTTTTCCTGCGCCTGGTCTATGAAACTTGCTTTCTCTGCATCAGCAGATGTGATGCGATGCGGAATTTTGAGAATGATTGTTGAACACAATTTGGAAACCGTTGTTGCGATACCTAACGAGGAGATGACCCCCTCATGGCTGTAATGTGTAATTTAGGAATTAAATGCCTAGATAATAAATAAGTGAATAAGTGCGAAAGCTTCATCCCGAAATCTAAGCTCAACATGTACGCGTAAATGATTGCAATTCTGATCAAATTTGTTTTTATGCTCGAGTTGTTGTATTCAAATACCCCCTTCCGCTTCGACGAACGCTTATTGAAGTTTGATGAAGAACGAGGTGTTTATTTCTTGGTCTGCCTGGCCAAGTCGGAATTGCCTACACCACGAAGTGGTCGGTCGTGACTCTTGCGAGGTTAATCCTGACATCTTCCTTCTCATGCAATTAAAGTGCGCGCTTAAGCTGAAAACTTTTTTCTGGTGTTTCATCTACATGAAGAGAGAAGCCACAGCATCTTCTCGTGGTTAATAGCTTCGGCAAACAAATCTTTCTTTCAAAGCATCGCAAACGTTTTTAGCGCACCAATATTACTTTCTTTATCTCACCCGAAAGCAATGCTTTTCGTACCCACTACGATATACTGGCTGTGCTGATGCTTGGCGAAGCAAAACGTTCGCACTCGAAAGTCTATGTGACGTACAGAAAAAAGCATGTCTGTTGTATTGTAGCGATGTCGCCTCTCCTGATCAATTTTTGACGCGCCAGCATCAGACTCCCCTAATCATGACAGACGCATAGTTCACTGGTAGAGGCACTGCAATGTTGCCGCCTCATCAGTTTCATTTGCTGTTATTGTTCAATTAGAGTTCAAGTGCGCACACAATGAACTCCTCTGTGCTGCGCCTGCGTTGTCTGGGCCAGCGACTGACTGTCGCTCGTCGCGGCTTACACACTCGAAGCATTTTAGCATGTCCTGAAATTCCTTTTAAGCTCGCAGACATTGGCGAAGGAATTGCAGAGGTGGAGGTGCTTCAGTGGTTTGTCAAGAGTGGTGACGAGGTCAAGCAATTCCAGAATGTGTGCGAGGTTCAAAGTGACAAGGCCACGGTAGAAATTACCAGTCGTTTCGATGGTGTAGTCACCAAGGTGCATTATGATGTGGGAGAACTGGCCAAAGTGGGCTCCACACTCATAGACATCGAGGTGGATGAGGCCACCGCTGCGACGATTCATGGTGGCAAAAAAAATGTAGCTCCAATTCTCAGTAGAACACCCACACCTGTTGCCGTCAAGCCTGTGGTGGCTGCACCCTTACCAATGCCTGCGTCATCTGCTGCTTCACCCACAATCCTATCGAGAATCCCGGTCACTCCATCAAGACTTGAAGGTGGTGAAAAGCTACTTACGTCACCGTCGGTTCGGCGATTGGCAAGAGAGCACGGCATTGACTTGTATGATGTAGAAGGAACGGGACCACAGGGTCGGATTTTGAAGGGAGACTTGCTAAATTTCATTCGAGAGATCGCCGCACAGCCGGCTCAACCAATTACCTCTGCTTTTCAGAGCTCTGTCTCTGTGCAAACTCTGACAGCAGATAAAATGCATCAAGATACGGTTGTGCCACTAACACCTATTCAAAAGGCAATGATCAAATCGATGAACGCGGCGCTGAGGATTCCTCATTTTGGTTACGCTGATGAGGTAAAGTGGCTGAAGGCACACAAGAACTACCGTCCATGTAGCCAACTTTTTGTGATGCTGCTTGCTTCTCTTTTTTCAGATTCGAATGGATGCACTGTATACTTTGCGCAATGAGTTGAAGCCGCTGGCTGAGTCTCGTGATATCAAACTCTCGTTTATGCCTTTTATAATTAAGGCAGTGTCGTTGGCTTTGAAGCATTACCCAATGCTCAATGCCACCGTGAACGAAAATGAGGATGAGCTCTCTTTGATAGGTGCACACAATATTTCCGTGGCTATGGACACACCGATGGGACTGCTTGTACCGAACATTAAAAATGTCCAGGTACGTGACTTTGTTTGCTCAATAATCAATCAGCTCTAATTAGCTCTGACCATTTATAATGCGTGTTTGTTACATGAGTAGGCAAGGAGCATCATGGATATTGCTGAAGAGCTTAATCGACTACAGCTCCTAGCTGCGACTGGCAAGCTTGCACCTGCGGACTTAACGGGGGGCACATTTTCGTACGTTTTGCGAACTACTATACAAATTACGTTTATCATTTATACAGTTACAATGCTTATCATAAATTTTATCGAAATGTATCAATCTACCAGAATCTCCAACATTGGTAGTATCGGTGGCACGTATATGAGCCCCGTGCTTATGGTTCCTCAGGTGGCTATTGGAGCAGTTGGTCGGATCCAGAAAATTCCTCGATTCGATGCTGAAGGTAACGTTAAAGCAGTGCGTCTGATGAACGTGTCTTGGAGCGGTGATCATCGTGTTATTGATGGGGCAACGATGGCTCGCTTTTCAAATCAGTGGAAGTCATATTTGGAGATCCCAGTTAGCATGCTGACCGAATTGAGTTAAAATAAATTAAAAAGCAACCATTGCTTTGATATGTAAAGTTGCACGTTATGAAAACTGTACTCTCCTTTAACTTTGCTCCAGATATCGTTACTGGATTCAGACTTCCACTGACTCAACTGCCGTACGGGTACTACCGAATTATTTTTTTTCAACGATCGGATAAATGCTCAAAATTGCAGGCATCTCCCTGATTAGCAGTATGCACTCCTCGATAGGAAGCTAAAAGCAAAATTTCTTGAAGCAGCTCTTGTGGGAGCTCGACGAACGCCTTACCGAGAACACAAGTACTTAAAAATGCTCACAAGCTTAAATCGTAACTCGAAAGTTTACCTGAGTCGCAATAACGCGGGCGAAGTGGTTCATGATGAAATCAAGACAGCGTTTCTTGAGCGTGTATGCGTTTCGAAGATGAGCAGACTGAACATGTTTTGTGTCAGAAAATTAGACAAGCAGGAAAGAAACAACGAGGAATGGCGCACCTCCAAAATGATGATGACGTTTTCGATTGATAAAATTTGCAGCAGAGTGTTCTCACATGCACTAGCGCGAAATGATTGATCGATACACAATAGTTGATACCTCTGGCCCCTAACATTTGAAAATTAGAAATGATGACGTACCGACGAAGACTTATAACCAGGTATTGGTCAGCTAGCGCGAGCAGTTCCAGAACAAAATCTGCATTTGTTTATGTAAACAAGTACTTTTTCCTTGATATGTATATACTAGCAGTACCTGCCCTCACGTCAAATGAAGCTAACGCGACCACTTGATCAGTGTAAAGAAATTCTACCAAAGCTGCAAAGGCGCCATACTTTATCAAAAGCTTAGTTTTGTACCTTAAAAGAGTGTACAATTTAATACACACCGAGTACTCTGGGATGGCGATTTCTGATTGTAAGCATTCCTTCATTCGCCCATCAAGCATTTTTTCGAGTGGTTCACAACGAGCGCCTAGGATACAGCTATGAGCAAAAAGGGGTCGACCTTCAACGACGAAGGTTACATCACTTCGCGTTGAATTGTTTAGTAATTTTCGTAAATCGCCACTGAGTGTTCCAAAGCCGATGGACGTTGGTCGTTTACATACAGGAGCTCCGATCAGACAAACGGAATGGTAAAATCCTGCTGCAACCTGTTTGACATGTATGATACATGAGAAACACGTAAATAAAGGCTCGTAAAATGAAAGCTTATATAAATGCTACCTTGACAACTAGTTTATCTTGTAATGTCGAAATAAGTTGTGGACTCAAGCAGTCCAAGGAAGTTTCGAGTCCAAGCTGACCGTGATTGTTGCGACCAAAAGGAAAAACCTTTCCATCGCCTGAAAGTGCAAGAGTATGGTAGCAACCACATGCGACCTGAGTAATTCTCGTACTCACAAGAGATTTTACTAGCTGATGGCACATGACGTAAATTTGCCAGATCACATAACCATTAATTTGTGAATTAGGATTGAGTTGTCAGCTCTTGACAAACCGTTGGCTTTGCCATGTGTCGCTTATGTCCTTGTCCGAGCTGCCCATAGTCATTGCGGCCGAAAGTGTACAAAGCGCCACCTTCCGTAACAATAGCAGTGTGGTGATACCCACATGACAATTGTGGCACAACTGCTTTATCTAGTGGCGAAGCTAAGCGCGTGGGTTCTAATACAGGCTCTGACATGCAGTCAAGGCCAAGCTGACCATGGTCATTTTTACCGAAACCTACAACTCCTCCATCTTCTACATTGGTTTCAACACAACTGAGGTCCTTGGAAGATTTGTTGCTAAAGACAAACACGTACTTAATGAGACAACGGTGAAATGTTGACCGCAAGCAACTGCTAAGACAGGACAGCGCAAAAAATATTCGACCAGACGAGGTATGAGCTGGCTGCTATGATCACCCATACCAAGCTGACCAAAGTCGTTGCAGCCGCAGGCAAATAAATGTCCATCATCCGTTACAATTGCCGTGTGAAAATAACTACAAGCGACATCGACCACACGCCGGCCGGCCATCCCTTTCACAAGCGAAGTCTCGGCGATACTTGTCGCCGTTCCGAGGCCCAATTGACCGCACGTATTAAGTCCAACTGTGTACAGATTACCTTTTTCTGCAAAGTAATCGTCATGAGCTACAATTCAATTGTCCATTCAAGCTAGCACCTTACCACTTATTGCCGCAAGGTGCTCACTCCCATTTCCGGAGAAAACGCGCACCGAACGATTGGAGCTAAGTCCAGCAGAAAACTGAGGTGTTGGGACTTGCTCTGTCGTGCCGGTCGCACACTGCCCACTGCGAAATTTAGGAAAATGAATGAGAATCAAAGCACAAGCAGATTTGTATAAACTGCAAGTCCCACACACTTGTTATTATAGCCGCAGGTGAATACGTCTCCGTTTTCTAAAAAAAATGACAAAGCATGGATCATACAAATCAATAAATATCGCTTTGACTGTAGCATCACAATGTAGTACTCACCATACAGAATAACAGTGTGCTCGTTCCCACAAGCCACATCGACGACGTGAATCTGATCGCTGCTTGTGCCAAGTTCCACACGTGTTGGGATGCTGCGATCGTTTGTGTCTCCAAGTGCTAGCTCTCCATATGTGTTCTACGGACAATGTGATATATGATGATAAGGTTTTCGAGAGAATGGTGACGTATATTTATTAGTTAGCATGTTGACCTGCCCGAAGGTGAAGACGCCAGCACCATTGTCTTCGTCATCACTATCTGGATCGATCGTGAGGAGGTGATTCGTCGCCATACCAAGCTTTACGAGCAGTGTGATTGGCTCGAATGCGAGGAGCTCCCAAGAACGTTCTTTTGTATCGATCTTTTTCAAAACGACTTTTGTCGATACAGTATCTGAGTCACGTCAGACGAGCCAATGTACGAAGGAATTCTGTACAGTAGCTCTTCGACACCACCTGGCCATATAAAGGCTGAAAAGTTGTTTTATTGCATGTTTGACCTCGCTGCAAACCCCCTACAAAAAGGACGATTGAGAATCTGATTTATACTTCGTGGATCGCAAAGGAGTTTTTACACTAATGAAAGCTGCAGCATGAATACGCTTCAATGAAGGTTGTGCGTTTTGATGTTTGTACTGAGGGCTAAAATAGTGAGGCGTTAGCGCTAATATATTTAATACGCCATGGTAACACTGAACTGTCGGTAAGAATCCAATTGGGATAGCGGTCAGTGCGCTTCAGCAGGAGTCGAAGCCATTGTTAAACGGATTCTTGCGTAGAATTATGAATCTGTATTATCCAACAAATTAAGATATCTCCCGCCAGCTGCTTAGCTTTAGACCTCTCTCCCAGTCGGGGCAAACCGCCTCATTCGATAAGCACCAATCATCCAACTCCACAACAAAAAGGCGCTCCGCTAATTCAGGAAGTTTCTTCCAGATTTTCACGGGGACAGACAAGACAGACACAAGGTGCCCAAGACCTCACTTCGCAACAAGTCTTTAATTTGCCGCAGTCTAAGGAATATGTTCGCTAAGAAGGATTTACCGCTTTTACACCACGGTGGTTACGCAGCAACAAGCCCCACGGCGTCATCCGTGTCGTCTTCCTACTCACGCGTGGCCTCCGAGGAGCTCATCGTTCCCGCCCCCGACAGCGTTAACTCAGTCTATTACGGGGTAGACGCCTTCTCGCCCACACTTGTTGACTTCTACACTTTGGACCAAAAGCGCATCGTCTGGTCCTCGCGCGCGCATCGCAAGATGATGACTACACTTCACCGCGCCTGGCACGGTAAGGCGTGGAAAATGTACTCGCTGAGCTTTTGGGCCAGCCTGTTTGCCATCGTGGCCTTCACGCTTTTTGTAACGGGCGCTATGGGCGAGGCCATGGCCCACAGTGTCCATGGTCCTAACGCCTCTCTTGAGCCAGGAATCCAAATTCACTCGTCCGTTGACCTGCCGCTACTGCTTGCCGCTGTCTTCTTTCTTGCTTACCACGCAGTCACGTACCTGGAAGTCATTAACTGCTGCCACAATCTTGAAATTTGGCTGGAAGAGTATTTTCACGGTACAGAACCGGTGTTGGAGCGCCAATACGTGGGTTTTTTCCCAAGTCGTATCGATTTCTGGACCGCGATTTTGGGTATGCTCGGATCCATGCTTTACGTCTTCGCACGCGCTTTCGTGTGGACAAGATCCGACTTAGAAAATTTTGGCATCGTTGATGTCAAGCGCGATGAATTGGGCCTAATTGTGGGCTACTGGGTGCCTTTCTTCGCAGGGTCGTTTTTGCTGCTACTCAGCGCTTACCTGGCACATGTAGAGGTCGTTCACCAATGGTTTTCATGCAGACTTACGACACTTGAGACCTGGGTCACTGGTAGGTTTAAATATTCTATCTCTTGAAGGCATGCCCGCTAACTATGCTGTGCTTGACTTTAGGATTGAACATGATGGCAATGCTCGGATTTTTTCTGTCGTCAACACTACAATTTATGGATCCCTTCACCGTACTCTTTTCATTTCACGCATGTTTAGTGCCTTTTGCTACGGGTTGCCTGCTAGGACTGGGGTCGAGTGTGCTTAGCCTTGTTGAGCTTCAAAACATTCACAAGCGCCACAAACACCCAGAATATAGTCTCTATGAATCGCCTGCAGGATATGGAACTTCAAGCTACGGGTCTTTTTTAAAGCAGCAAGTTTAAGCGGTGAATTAACCATACCATTCATCAACAGCTGATGAAGTATAATACGAGACAGATAAAGCAATACATGTTCAGCAATTACACGTACAAATGCATCGAAACTTAGCTATCACTTCAAGTTTAAGCCAGTAGTGCTGTTAAGAAGCGACCGCGACTCTGAATGTCGGGATTAGTTGGGTGTGTAGCGAGGGCATTGTGCACGATCGACTCGTGTGGTCGAGCCACGATAATATTTTCCTCTACAGACATCACTATAAGATTTTCTTTTCGAAGATAAAAAGCCAACAACGGAACGTACCCATATTTGAGCAGAAAATTAACAAAGCCCAGCAGCCCTCGGCTTGAAGTGCTTCATTTTGCGGATG